GGCCCCGATTACAGACAGTCGCAGGTTTAGCAGAGAGAGAACTGGGCCGGTCCCGCAGTCAGGTTGCGAGGCTGGGATCAGATCTGGAACCGGAGGTGGGGGTCGCGCGACGGTCACCTGTGGACACGTCCGGACACGAGGCCGGGAGTCCCAAGGGTGGAGGGGGCGCAGTCGTCTAGCCTCGGCCCATCGACGCACTGCCAGGTTCTTTGCCGACCCTGGCATGTGTGCTGACCTCCGCTCTTCACCCACCCATGAAGGATTTCACGCGCGCATCAGGGTCTCTCCTACCCGGTGCCGTGGGTCAGGTGTGGATCCGGCTGGGCGCTCCGGGTGCCCGAGGTGAGAATGAGAGGGAGCAACGGCCCAACCCGCGTCCGCCAGAGGGCGCCCAGGGGCCTCTTAGGGGAGCGGAGTTTGGAGCCGCTCGTCGCGAGCCTCGGAAAGGGAAAGGAGGAGCGAGGCGGGACAGTCTCGCTCGGGAGAGGCAGTGGGGGACATCCCGGGCTTGGGTCAGGCCTGGGAATAAAAGTCCAGCAGGAAGCCGTCTGGGTGGTTAAAGCGGGAGGGTCACAAGTCCAAGCTCAGCCTGGGCAATTTAGCGTTTTAATGAGACCCTGTCCCTCCGCTCCCACACACACAAAAACAATTAAAACGGGCTGGGAATGTAGCTCAGTGCCTAGACCGTGGGCTCACTCCCCAGTACCCCCCAACACACACAGACCTTTCAGAAGCAGTTTTCAGGGCCCAGCCCCCTGCCAGACTCGCCAGCACCACCTAGGATGCGCTGGTGTTGCCTCTGCGTGGGCGTCCGAGCGCCTCCTCACTCCTCGGTGAACAGAGGCCCGGGGGTGAATGGTTGGTTTGTTCTCAGTCGCACTGGCACCTATCAAGAGCCGCCTTCCGAAGGATAGCAGCTTTTGCAGCCTGTCCCCAAGCAGCTGCTGGGTGCTGGAGCACCTGGGAGCCAGCTGAGTGGCAGACTGAAGGGGTCTTGCCCAGGCTGAGGACAAGGAGCCCCGGAAAGGCTCAGGGAGATGCCAACTGCTCAGTAGCTTGGGAGTCCAGGAGGGGCAGCTGGCCCTTCCTGTCAGGGCCTGGCAGGTGTCCCCTTGTCCTGGCTCCTCTCTTCTCTTATTGGCCTCGGCCCTTCTCTCCCTTAGCCATTGGGAAGTAAGTGAAATGTGGGCACGACCCACAGCCTCTCTGGGCTTCAGCTTTGCTCTCTGTGTTGTTTTCTTTTCTTTCTTTCTTTTTTTTTTTAGGCAGGGTCTCCCTGTTGTGGCCCAGCCTGGCTTCCAACATGCATCAATCCTCCTGCTTCCGCCTCCTGAGTGCTGGGATTATAGGTGTGAGACACTGTGGTGGGCTTGGCTTTGCTGTCTATGAAATAGGAATAATTTTTTCCCACCAGAGATCTGAGAATTAAAGAGAATGGATTCTGCATGTCAAAGTATGATAGAAAGAAAGGCCTCCATCTGTTTCTCCCTTGGGATTCCAGCAAGCAACAGCAAGGAGGAACCCTGCTGGGTGTGCTGGTGCAAGTTTGTAATCCTAGCAATTTGGCAGGCTGAGACAGGAAGATACCAAGTTGCATCCCAACCTGAACTACTTAGCAACTTAGTGAGACCCTGCCTCAAAATAAAAAATAAGATTTTTTTTTTTTTTTTTTTTTTT